TCTTTACCTACGGTCACTTTACTCTGCTCAAGTTCTTCATCTTCGCCTCCTTCATCTTCACCACCGCTGCCACCACCTCCTTCTCCTCCTCCACCTCCACCTCCTCCTCCGCTACCCTCTTTGGAATTTCCATTACCTCCGCCTCCGCCTCCACCGCCACCACCACCACCAATGCCACCATTTCCTCTTTTATTTCCACATAAAGCACACATCTCGGAATCAGCATCGACGATACCACCACCGCCTCCTCCGCTCCTTCCATCAGTTCCCTTGCCATCTCCAATGTTATCGTTACAAACGACTCCCAACAGCAGCAAAAGTAAAAAGATTAGAACACCCACAAGAAAGTGCTCCACGCCATTGTTCAACAGGCCTAACATCACCGTCGAGGACCTGTTGAAAGTCACCTTGAGAAAAGCTCCACAAAGTATCAAGGTACTATCAAGAATCATTTGACGCCAGCAGATAAATAGCCACGATTAAGCAATTGATCGACCATGACTGGCGATGTGTTTTTTTTAACACAGAAAATTTATTGCGAAAAACATTACAGCCAGGGTTTGAACCTGAACCTCCCTTCACTCTAGGCGGGCGTCTCAACCAATTCGACCACCGAAGCATATGATATTTGTCGCAATAACAGTATAGATTGTCTATGCGTGTTTTCGACTTTTGTAAACTGCGCACCGATACAGATTGCAAAAATAGGAAAGTTACTTTTTAAAAATAACTAGTTACCGTTACTAGTTACAGAATTAAAGAGTAACTACCGTTACCATTATTTAAAAAGTAACGATTCGTTCCTTTTAATGCCAAAACTAGATAAGAGATAAGACTAAATAAGAAATAAATTTATTCTTAAAATGCAACTATAAGGATTATTATAAGATTTTAATTATATAATTGTTTGGATAAGATTATCGTCGCTGTATCCTGTATATCGCGTACTTGCGCACTATCGTCTAAAGCTTCATAAGCTTTATAACTTATAAGTCTTATAATATATACAGTATCAAAACTTGAAGATCGATTCATAAAGTATATAAAAGATTTATAGAGTATAAAATATGAAATATGAAAAGTAACGATAAAAATAATTGTTATATTCGTTACCGTTACAGTTACAGAAAAAAAGATGTAACGCCGTTACCAATTCGTTACCAAAGAAAAGTAACTGTAACGGTGACGGCGTTACAAGTAACGCGTTACTTCCCAACCATGACGGATTGTCGGTTGAACACAGCGCTATCGAAACGCGATTTTTAAGTATCCCCGTTCCCTTTACCCTCCCCCCACTTAGACACTATTATTCGGTCTAGGTGTATAAATGCTGGTCAAATAATTCTTGATGTTATTTATACTGGTGTCTAAGTGGGGAGGGGGGGGGGGGGTAAAGGCAACGGGGATACTTAAAAATCGCGTTTCGATTGTGCTGTGTTCAACCGACAATCCGTATCGGTGCGCAGTTCACGAAAGTCGAAAACATACGCGTAGACAACATCTATACTGTTATTGCGACAAGTATTATCATATGCTTCGGTGGTCGAATTGATTGAGACGCCCGCCTAGATCGAAGGGAGGTCCAGGTTCAAACCCTGACTGAGGTAATATTTTTCGCAATAAATTTTCTGTGTTAAAAAACCACATCGCCATTCATGGTCGATCAACTGTTTAATCATGGTTATCAAGATACTATCCAAATTTTGCGGAATTAATAACACTGCATCTTTCACAGTAAAATATAAATTTCCGAGAATTAAACTGAAGTTTAATTAGACGGATGAATCTATAAAAGATCGGGTTGTATCGAAAACTGATGTCCTAACATTCTCTGTTATCCTTTCCTTTTAAAAGACGCGCGAATGTTTGGAGATTAAGAATAACTAAATCGGTAAAAATTAAAATATTTTTAATTTCACCTTTGTTAAATAAAAAATTCTGTATGCAGGCGCGTATGCATGTGCGACAGATTAAAAATTTCAACATTCACTCACACTCGAAGAGTATGAAAAATAGTAAATTGTCTCGTTTCATACATTTCAGGAGAACAGGCGGAACACTGCGTCAGGCCCAAGAGGTCCGGTCGTGTCCTTGGAAATGTTACGCAATGTGAAGCTGAAGTCTGCGAAGCGCAGGCTCGCCGACCAAGGGAGATCGCCCAGAAACGGCCGAGTCGTTAAAGGACGAATCATGTCGAATGTAAATCTTTCGCCGATCTTGACCGGATCGGAAGGCGATCTCGAGCGGATCCTGCGACAAGTGGATCTGAACAGACCGAGGAGACTCCTGTCTGGCTCAAACAGCTTCCGCGAGCGCGATTTTGTAAAGGAGAAGCCGCATTACTCGTTGGAAACGTTAATGTGTAACCAATCCACGCTTGAATGAGTAACCGCAATCTCGAGTATGGATCGTGACATCAGAAGCGAGAAAGTTACGTGAATTTTTAGACTTGTACTATACATCGAAATAATTAATTTCCTTCTTGCATATCATATAACTCGCATTGAACATATATTAGATTTATGAAATTTTATAAAGACTTATTGATCAATTTGTATTATTAAACATGACTAGGAAAAATTAATTTGTCACAATATGTAACGCAAGGGAAAAGAAATTGACCACTTCGCTTCTGATGCCATAATCTTCTATGACAATGCAAATGGGAGCAAAACTTTAAAAAAATTTAAATTACATTAATACAAAAGCTACCTAATATAGTAACTATCTATATAACACTATAATGAGGGATCAGAAATATTAAAAAATTTAAATCATTAATACGGACGTATGACACTTATCATATAAAATTAAAATATTCATATTTAACACTTAAATTAATATCTAACTCGAGAGCTCCAAGCTCTTCGCCGCGTAGCTTTCCTACATCTGGCTGGCCGAAAATTTAAATTAACTTCTTTAATAAAACTGTGACCAAGGCATAGATTCATAATTACTTTATTTGTAGCTTTCATGTGTGTGGTTTTACAGAAAAAAAGATTGTATCCGGTGTGTATTCGCATCGATTGTAATACAGAGCGTAAAAACGCATGGCGGATCCAAGAATGTAAAATCAATTCCTCCGAACGATGATGAAAACAAAGCATTGCTTCGCGCCTACTACTCGTTCATGGCGATCCGATTCTCGTCGAAACCAATGAAACCGAACAGATTAAAAGTTAGCTTGAAATTTACATAGGTTTCGAAATTATTCAGATGGTCTCTGATTTATGTTCTACGAACATATAACCGGGATATTGCCCAACAGGGCTAATAATTCATCGGCGTTCAGAGATCGCTACCATCATTTGTTGCCACCTGACGCGTTCCTCTCTCGTTTGTTTTTTGCTTTCACGTAGCTAAATTCCTTAAAACACTGCCGCACAGATACATGCTATGTACTTGAGAAATATATTTATATATATGCGCGTGCGTTTTACAGCCTACGACGGCATCCGCCTCGCTCCGCAGTTCTTAATTTAGAGCTCTGTTTACCTTGCACACAGTTTTCGCGCGATTTAATCTTCACGATTATAATCGACTCCGATCATATCATATACTCGAGTTGATCCTACCCGAGTTACTCGGATGATCCCTCGCGTCGAGATTTATATTTCTTCGTTTTCTTCTTTCCCTTCTCTTTAGCCTACTTATTACGTTCTTACAATTACATTCGCGAATATACTTACTTACTTTACGAGAGCCGGTTGATATTATTTTGAATTATTCCTCATAACGTGTCATTTGTAACATGATTATCAATTTTTATCGTTACAATACCTAAATACAGGGGCACGATGGACACCAATTATTTTGCAGCTTTTTTTTCCCCGTCTTCCTCGCGGAAATTGCGATCCGCGCTTTTCTCGCCGGATTATGCTTTTGTTGTCGTCGAACGCCTCGCTTCTACGCTGCGTTTAAAACTCGGCGTCTCCTCTCCGTCACGTTATCAGCGAGAAAACTGAGTGAGCTTAAATGGATTTTGGTAGTTCTAGCTATATAATAAGTAGATAAGTTTAATGCGTAAAATGGTCAGTAACTAGCTAAGCTTACCTCATCGATCTGAAGAGAGGGTACTTTTTCACTGTAAATCTCTACGATCCCGACAGACTCCTCGTTTACAAGAACAAATGGAATGTCTCAACGTAAAAATTGATGGAATGGCTCGTCGATGAATCCGCAAATAGATAATTACAAATACTGATTCCGATAATCGTCCATCCGGAAGGGAAAGACGAGGATAAAGAAATATATATTTACAATATATATTTATAATAGTATAAATATATATTATAAATACATACGTATACATATATGTATATATTTATATAGAGCGTAAATTGTGTGTAAATGTGGTGGAAAAAGTCGGGGTACAGTCATTTATTCTGCTTCTTATACCACAGCAATTCGATATTTAGTTTACACAACGGGCGTATGAAAACGTACAACCACATTACAGACTAGCTAGATAGTTACTTTGTTTGCTGTGAGTAACGTAACGCGCTAAAAAGGCTCACCTACGACAACGTAATCTTGTTCATGTTCCCCCTTCTTTCTTTCTTTTTTTTATCACGACGCTGCTCATCGAGCTGACGCGATGGGACGCACTCGCCTCGGAAGAGATACGTAAAGGGACCGGAAATCAAGAGATCGGAGAATTTACGATGATTTACCGCTCTACCGCTTCTCGCTTCGCGTTATCGACGCCTTCGCGACGCGGTCCCCATACGAAAGCTCACGAAAATCAGGCGTTATTGCATTTTACGAGGTACAGAGGGTGGGAGAGGGGGAGAGGAGGCAATCGAAGTAAGCACATTCTCTTCTCCTCAACTCGGCTATGCCAAGAATTCATGCATTTAAAATTTCTCTTTTTGGCTATCTATAACATTACAATCGTGTCGGAAGTACATATCTTATTACAGGGTACAAGCTCGAAAGCGAGGTCCGTCCTGACAACTAGCAATGAGGGCGCCGCCGTTATTTCCGTAAAGAGAGAGAGAGAGAGAGAGAGAGAGAGAGAGAGAGAGAGAGAGAGAGAGGAGGAGGAGGAGGAGGAGGAGGAGGAGGAGGAGGAGGAGGAGGAGGAGGAGGAG